CATGTAGTAGAACTCCTAACAATGTACAATCGAAATTTGTTTTTTATTGTACCTATTTTATTTTTCGAGGGAGCAAAAACTAATATGAACATATTGTCATATCTTTTACTCTCTTAGCGGAAGATAAAAATTTCACTTTTAAATGCAATATAAAATAAAGAGTATAAATAATCGATAAATTATGCTTTGCGATATACAGTTGTTAATAATCATGAACGTTTGTCATAAAGAAACAAAGTATTCGTAGTGCATGATTTTTAAGGAAAGAAAATGGAGACGTTTATTATAATTATTAGACTAGAAAATTAGCAGTAAATTGTAAAATCTAATGATAATATTAATTATAAAAACATAATGAGTAATAAATATAAAGCCGGAGCTTTTGGTAATAAATTATTAGTCAAGATAAAGATAATCTAAATTATTGTTTTAATAGAACTTTTGTATGTGTAAGTTTACATAATTATAATATATATTTATTTATAGTATTTTTAAAAATAGTTTATAAGAAAGTTTTTCAAAAGTAATTATTTGTAATCGATTGTCTTATTTTTATGTTTCAGGTAAGCTCCATTTTGATTTCTGAAAGACGTACTACAATGAGTGAGTACAATATAAAGACAATATTCTGTCTAATTTTTATTTTAAAAGTGCATAAAACAGTCAAATAAAATATAAGATTTATGTGTGTATATGTATATTTGCTTGTCAATCTGAACAATATTTCATAAATTTCAAAATCAAAGCATATTACAAAGATGATTACGAAAAATCTTTCAAAAAAAAATAGATTCACGCGTTCGTTAATATCGTTTCTATAACCGAAACACAATCTCTATTATTTCATATTTTTTATTACAAAGATTCACATGTCCTTGCTTGTATGGTCTCGTGTTTCGTCCAGAGATTCTTTTATTTCCCGTTTAAATAGAACACGAGTGGAGTAAGTGGATCGATCTCGTTACACGTTGCCAGGTTCGCCTCGTCATTCCGCCGTCACGGCCGTACATTTTGTCGAGACAAGTGTCTCCGGGAACGTGACTGGATGACAGAAGGAAACGTCCAGGAAATAAAGCTAGCGAAGGATGGAATAAAAACAAGTCCAACCTATCTCTCGTCGATGTCATTGTCGCTGTCCGCTCAACATCGCCAACATCATTGTTGTTGTTGTTATTGGTGGCGTTGTCGTTGTCATTGCTGTTGTCATTATCATTATCATCGTCATATTCATCTTCGTTATCGTCATTGTTGCCATCTCTATTGTTGCCTTAATTGTCGTTGGTTATCGTAGTCATGTTATCAGTGTTGTCTTTATTTTTTATTATTTTTTATTATTAGTATTAATCTTGGAAAACATCATCCGAACAGATAGATTTGAATTATTAGCTAAATTTAGCTAATAATTCAATTTAGTATTTTAAATAAATATTAATAAATAACATTATTAATAAATAACATTAATAAATAACAATAAACATTAATAAATTTTTTTATTGTAAACACATTTTTGTATACTTACTTATACGTATATCTACTTATTTTATATATTTTCATGTTTTGTTTTGTTTTCCACTTATACGCGTACCTAAAAGCAACACAATTGACAATATTTCACAATTACTGGAAAAGATATCTTATTGTATTATTGAATTTGTCATAACATCCCTTACAAAAAACTGTAATAAAATAGATATATATTCCATTATATATATAAAGAAAAATAAAACTTTTATTGAAACATTTAAAAAGATAAAATTCTCATTTAAATCATTATATTAATAGGTCTTCTTAAACAGAATAACTTTTATTCGACAAATTCTTTTATAATTCTATTATTTTAAAAAATAACAATATGTACACTTAACCAAACACACTGAGGTTGTATATATGATGATTCACGACTATTAATACAATGTTTATCGTATTTATAATTATAATTTACTTAATTATAATTTACAGTTTATAGTTTATTAAATGAATAAATGTAGGTATATTTTCTTTAAAATTCTCACTAGGTTTTAATAACAAAAATTTCAAGTTTTAATAATTGAAATGCAATCAAAGGTGACTTGAAATAATTGAGATAGCTGAAATGGAAAGATAATTAACAAACTAATTCTTTTTTGTTTCGATTAGAATTGAATCGTCTTTCTTTTTCTATGAGCTTTCTTTGAATTTTATTCATTGCTTCCATTATACATTTCAAAATACGAAATACTATTTATACTATTTATACTTGTATATAATACTATTTATACTTTTCAATGATTCTTCTTTTCGTATGTATTTAACTATTATTGTAGAATCTTTTTACAATATTTATTTACAATATTTATTTGCAATTATAGAATAGCAATAAATAATATTTATGTATTGTATTTTTATATTTCATACACACAATCATGTTTAATTTTTATATTAAATATAAAATCCGATATATTAATCTCTCATTACAAAATTTATTAAACTTTTTTTTTATACGACACATATGAAAGTATCATATATCAGTGTATAGATGCAAAATTCGAGGTGAAAACATCGTTTACCGTAATATCCTAAGAACTTTTGTAACGAACTACTTACCTTAACTGGACAAGTTGTCTCGGCATTTGCTTAACTGTTTGCTTGTGCTACAGAACAACAAATGTTCAGACAGATAACTGGAGACGCAATATATAACTTGGATCCCTTTGTCGTTTTATATGAAAAGAGAATAAGAATAGAACATTATATAGCAAAATGAAGTAATACAAATCAAGTACGAATTACAATTAATGTAATTTTTCATATAAAATAAAATCACTAATCTCATATAATTGACAAGTAATTATACTATCTATGTTTCGAGTGAATTTTTCTTGTGTTCAATTCGTATTGAACATTTTATGCATTTAATTAATTTTATGTTTAATTTTATTCTTATATACAATAAAACGTTTAAGCTCTACATGCTAAATTTATACACACACACACACACACACACACACACACACACACACACATAAAAGACTGTAATGCGACACATTGTAAATTGAGCCATCAATTGTAAGTAATAGGACATATCATCGATATGCATGATTCGACAACTCTACTGAATAGAGTCGAAATGTTAAATTCATTAAATGTATATAAAAATATTCTATTGAGTAGCGAATGTACATGATTTCATAACACAAATTTATTTACAATATGAATACCAATATGAAGAAATTCATTTTCATTAACATTATTATTCTATATAGAACTGCTGAATTATGCACATCGACAACTTTATCCCAGTATTTAGTGGCGCGATTTACAATTAGATAATCAGATAGGAGAAACAGAAGGTTTTAATGTTTTAATAAATTATAGAATATAATTTTAAATAAATTGAAGCATACATAGGAATTAGACAGCACTTCGAACGTAACAAATTATGATCTCCCGTATGTGCGAGAAAAGCTAGTCGATAAAATCGCAGATATCGCGGTAACGAGTCGAGACACGTGCTTTTTATTCTGCGACGAACCGTTTTACTCGTGATGTGCTCTCAGGAAATTTACCGTAGATCGTTTCTTCAATAATGTTAAGGGAAGTATAAGAGGGTAGGGATGGCTGCAAGGTCTGCAACGAATCGTTGTACCGGCAGCGAGATTGCGCTCAAGAATTCATAAATTTTTCCCAAGCCTTTTAGGAGAACATGCTCGTAACTCTATTAAATCATGTCGGTTTCATGGAATAAAGCAAAAAAAATTTGCAAATTGATTAAATCATCAAACAAACTGTTGCCAAATGCGAATTATTGACTTTATTTACTTTTTCGGTTTTTTTAAACAATATTTATATATATTTCTGTTTATGTATATTTCTATTTTAAATTGATTAGTCCAAAGATTTCACTTTTTTCCATTTTATTACGGAACAATGCTCTCATGTCGTGACATAAAAATAATGACATAAAATAATATATATATAATGGACAGAAAAATGAGATAAACTTTGGATTAAAGATAAGAAAATCTGATCTGAAAAGTATTTTTTCTTCTTCCTGCAGCTAAGATAGATCAACGCCAAATGAATCTTTTCATTCTTCGAGCATAGTGAAACCACAGGAAGCTGCTATGAAGCTCGCGACTTCAGAAGCACTTTTTCTTTATCGTGAATATTTCAGGAGTTTCACTCGTTGTGGTACTTTTTCGCAAGATACCGGAAGAGCATGATGGTGCACATCGAAGCGAAATATGCCAGACGTTCGTTCAACGTCAAAGCAACGAAAGAGTCCTTGACCCTCCCCGTAGTCTGTCGGCTTTGATTTCTTATTGCACCGACTTTGATTTTACTCTTCGCGTATCCGCGTATAGGGATCAGATTTTTCCGAGCGCTTTGCTTCCGACTTACAGCAAGTATCCTTCCTTACCCTTCGTGTAAGCTTCGCAAGGTTTTATTTGGAAGGCGGATGATCCTGTTCAAGAGTCGAAGATTACTCTTAGATAGAATATGAGCTTTTACGTATAAAATTGAGAATAAAAGAAGTAAATAGAAAAAGAATATAATTAAATTTCAACACTTGTTCTAGATGAACAAATAAAACTTATAAGAAACATCTTGCTTTTGCATTAAAACAGAAATATAATATATGTATTAATTCAAATACTTCGAAGTTTCAAAATAATCTTAACAATTAAAAAGAAATGATATACATTAAAAATATATTTTATTACATTTATAAAAGACCCCATTCTTGAATATATAAATAAAAAAAATTAATTTTCAACTTATCTTCTAAAGTTTATTGATTTTATTTAAATCTGCAAAATTTTTTCTGACAAAGAAAAAAATAGATAATGTTACATGAGCATATAAGTGCTAGCTTACAATAAAATTTTCAATAAAATGATATATTCTACTAACAATAAATGCTATGATCCCTTACCATATTACATTCAGTAATAAATCAGACGATTGAATATCATCGAGTGATTTAAGGAAATGTCAAAGTAACTCACTCCCCTTAATACGATCTATTACTATCAGAATAGCTAATTCTTGTATCATCCCTCCTCGGCATCATCTAATGCCAGCTCTAATTGAATTAGAGCTAGCTAGTATTAGCTAAGAACATTTAGTTAAGCGGCAATATAACATCAGAAAGAGAAATATCATTTCTATAAATCGAATTAATTCACTGAATTCTGACGATATGTATTATGTTAATGAAACAAATTCGTTCTTTTCCCAGAATATTATACAGGTCACATACATGTTTTAAATTTTATTATTATTATTATTATTATTATTATTATTATTATTATTATTATTATTATCATCAATTATTACAATTATGGTCATAGTTAACAGTTTTTAATCCATAGTCTATATAAGCTGTAGCAACATTTGACTAAAATAAACTATGACAATATAATACGAACTGAATCGCATATCTTTGATCACAAACTAATGTCAATATAAAATCTGTTAAGTATCTCTGTCGTTTCAATAAGATTTGTACTTTTTTCTTATCCATAAACACAATAAGTTTTAACTTTTGTTTTATTTATTTCCATTCTTTTAAAGATAAGATAAAAACATTTAGTTAAAGACAGTCAAAAACAGTTAAAAAAGTTAAAAATAATTAAAAATAGCAGTTTATTTCTAACTTCAAAAAGTTCAACACATAAGTAATATAAATCTTTAAAATGATAAAAAAATATATTTTAAAATTCTGTGAAATGAAATAGATAATAAACTTTATCTTAATCTTTTATTTAAATATTATTTAAATGTATTTATTTTTAATACGATACGTGTTTTAAAACAATATTCTATATATAATCGCACATTACATTAAGAATCATAAATAATTATGCTGTTTACATTATGCATGTGTACAATTGCTTTTGTGTTACTAAGCAACATTTTATATTTTCATCTATAACAACTAATAACTAATAACTAATAAGATAGATTTTTACATCAATAGATTGATATTTTTACATTATATTATCGCAAAGTGTTATACATAACAATAATTATAATAATTACTGTCACAATTATTGTTATAAGCGTTATATAACTATAAATATTGTTTTCAAGAAGTTATTGTTTCTATTATAAAATGATAAAAAAAATTATGAAATGATAAAAAATAATTCAGAATGATAAACTCTGCAAATAATAATTGCAACAAGTTAGAAAATATGTTGTTATGCTTATGAATACTAATACGCGGTTATAATTATAAAGTTTTGAAGTTCTTGCAAACATTGTAAGATTAAAAATCAGATAATAATTTCGCAGTGCTTTTATACAAACTTAAAATTAAATGATCTTAGTGCACCACTGCAAATTTTAGGTGCAATCTCTTTAGCATACAGATACATGTTCACGAGAACATTAAAGACATGAATAAATCAATCTCTGTCGACTTAAGCTATGTGTTTAAGAGCACTTATAATGATGTGAGAGAATATATAACTCGCTGTTAAAATAATATCAGCTATAATTTAAAGAGCACGAAACGAATGATTACAAACATCAAATTGAATAAGAATCTTTATTTTATTAAATTGATGTTTGTCCTGAACTATGAACTATATACTACTAAAATAATTTAAAATTGTCTTGAACTGCTATATTGCTAACGATGATGTTATTATAAATTATTGGATTGAGATGTCATTTAAATTATTTAAATTTTGATATTACTGCACTGAGAAAAAAATATAATCAATTTTAATATTCAGTTTAATACTAACTACTCAATTAAACATTTATTTACAGTAAATAAATATTTATTCAGTAAATAAATATTTATTCAGTAAAAAAATTGTTGATTGTTAAGTCAAATTAACATTTCTTGTATCAAATAAATATATCTTTATATTTAATAAATATTTAGTTAGCAGTATTCAAAAATATTTATTAAAATTGACTATATTTTTTTTCAGTGTGTAGATTATGTAGACGTACACATTTTTTGTCAATAATTATTTATTATACTTATAAATTCATTCTATGTAACTCTGATAGAAGGATAGGAAGGTATTTATAAAACCAGTGTATTATCCTTCGGATTTCATTGTTTTACGTTGGATTCGACACTTTTCTTCGACAATGAAGAAGAAAGATTTGTGATCAGCAATATTGAAAAGTGTAAAGAGACTTTCAATTGTAGAAGCTTTTCTCACTTCGTCGTCCACCGCGTTGTTATTCATCCATTCTTCTTTTGCGTGTATCAGTATACTCAATTTCGATACACTTTCTCTGTGTCCGAATTTTTTTTGTTTTATCTCGTGATGAATATCCATCCTGTCATGACAGAAAAGATTAATCCGAGTCATTTATTTAATTTTTCATGTAATTTTTATGTGTGCGCGCAATCATAACATCTTCAATCGTTTTATATAAATTTATACATGAGCCGCGCGTATTCATAATTTAAAATCGTTGCTATGGTAATCGCGTAAATAAATTAACAAAGCTCGATTAAAATTCAAACTCACGAGTTCGAGTTTCGATAAATTCTGTTTACGATGATGTATCGTCGCATATTTTGCTTTTTTCTGCGTGATAAAAATTTATAAACTGGAACGATTAATTACATCACAAAACATGTCTTATTAATAAAATTAATAAAAGTTAACGAGCGATTTTTATAAGTAGAAACGATATTTCATACACTAGAAAATGATAGAATTAAAATTTTA